CTGCTGCCCAAGACAGGTGCCGTGCTCTGCAGGTTGTAACTCTTGCCGAGAACATGTGCTGTAGAAGTGCTGGCATGCCGGCCCCTGGTGGTGGCTCCTTCCTGCAGGACTCTGTGTGCATGCAGACATTTTCCCTCCCTCTGCCGGTCCTCCGGAGACCCTCGTGCAGCCACAGCAGTGTGTGTCCTGCTATCGCAACTGGCAAGAAGCAAAACCAAAAGAGAGCAAAGAGGACCGGTGCCGGTATTTTATGTGGTGGTGCACAAACGGCTTGCCACGTGGAGCGGCGTGACGTTGCCGTTCTTTGAGCACCACACCGGTTCACACTGGTACGGCGGCTTCTGCAGCTGGAGTAAGCCCCACCTGGATCCGTAAGGCCCAGGCCTCACGGTTCCTCGCTGCAGCCTACAGAGAAGAGTCTACATGGCGAAGGGAGAACGTGCAAAGATGTCTTCTTGAGGCCAGGCTGAGCAAGGTTATTTTTTAAGGTGGAACTGAGACAGTGGAGATTTCTTGCAGGCAAGGGCTCCTGCAGCCACTGCAACAAAACCCGGAATGGTTGGATCCATGTGAACGCAGCCCTGCTGTCAGTTCGTGCTGATGCTGCACATCCTTGGCTGTGATACAGCGAAGCACTTAGCGTCTGCTTAACCATGCGGAGATGGGTGATGTCAGCGGAAATGTTTCATAGAGCCTTGAAGATGGGTGCTCCTTATCGATCGGGATTACGAAAGTGAAGCGTACTCATTGGAACAGGTTATTGTATTTTGTTTTCTAGAAATTCAGAGTGGAAGGCTTTGTTAAATGTGCAACCAAGCAACAAAAGTAAAGAAGAGGGTAAAGGGCTCTGTAATGGGAGGCCTTTGAAATACGAGGAGGTGCCTTGATGCTCAAAGTTGTTACAGCTGGCTGAATTATGGTGACTGCCAATTCCGCGGAGGTTAGCGCCAGGCCACCGCTCCTTCCCACACTACCATCATCACCTCAGTGTGTCTGGCTGAACAGTCCCAGCGCCCTCTGCCTGGGGCAGGGAGCTCCTTGGCTGCGGTTACCTCATGGAATCACGGAAGAGTAGAGTTGGAAGGGGCCATGAAGGCCATCGGGTCCAGCCCCCTGCTGGTGCAGGACACCAAGTTACACCTTCCCACTCAGATGGCTGCCCAGTTTCTTTTTGAATGTCTCCAGTGTGGGAGAGCCCACCACCTCTCCAGGCAGCTGCTTCCACTGCCATATTGCTCTGATAGTGAGGAAGCTTTTCCTGAATCTGGGTTGACCTCATTATTCTGTGTCCTGCTCTCTGGCATCAGCAAGAAGAGATCTTGACCTTCCTCTTTGAGGCAGCCTTTGAGGTACTTATAGAGGGATATCATGTCCCCACTCAGTCTTCTCTTCTCAAGGCTGAACGTGCCCAGTTCTCTCAGTCCCTCCTCACAGGGCAGTGTTCCCAAACCCTGGACCATTTTTGCTGCCCTCCTCTGGACCCCTTCTATATTTTCTTCATCTTTCTCAAATCTTGGTGCCCAGAACTGAACAGAGTGTTCCTGATGAGGTCTGACTAGTGAAGAGTGCAGGAGAACTGCTACTACTTGTGAGTTGGAAGTAATGGTTCTGTTAATGCATCCCAAATAGAAGTTGCCCTTTTTGCAGCTGCATCACATTGTTGACTCATATTTATCCTGTTGTCCACAATTACTCCAAGGTCTTTTTCTTCTTCAATTCTGTTGAGTCACAGATTTCCCATCCTGTATCGATGCCTTTGGTTTCTTTTTCCTAGGTGGAGGACTTGGCACTTGCCCCCATTGAATCTCATTCAGGCTATGAGTAGAGATGTCGAAGGAACCAAGTCCAGGGAATCCAGTAGATTCTCACTACCAAAATCCTCACCCCCCCCCCTCCACACACACACAGCCTTCTGTTAATGGGACCAACTGAGCAAGTTATTTGCAAATAACCTCATGTTGTCCTGCTCTGAACTGCTATAAGAAACATCTGAACCTTACTGGAGCAGTACGCATGGCATGACAGCCCACTGTGGGCTCCTTAACGTGTGGCTACCATTCTGAATACGTATGGCTTATGTAAGGACTTCGGGATTATGTAAGAGTTGTTTAGCCCTCATGTAAGCCAGCCTTCCTAGTCTGGAACAACAGAACTCCTGAGTGGCTTGGTATATTCGGTGTGGTATACTGTAGCTCATGCATCATCTGAACCAAGGCACGTGCCAGTTTATTTCATAGAGCATTTGAAGAGCAGGACACCATGCATTTTGGTATCATTAGCTAGCAGGAGGGATTCAGAGGGGAAAAGGAATTCTGGAAGCAAGGCTGTAAAGAACCAGGACAACATGTGGCATCTATGTTGATCAACGATGTGGGTGCTTGGGGGCAAAATGTGGGCAGGCATCCTATAGGGCATTGCCCAATATTATTACAGACTAGGTCAGTATGTCAGTTTTTTGAGAAATTTAACCCTCTCAATTGACCCCCTTTCAGTTTTCTTTTTATTAGCTCCTTCACTTACGAGATATTTCCTCTTTTGAAGTGAAATGTGACTTTATTTTGTAGATTTGTACAGTGGTGACTCGTAGTTTGAACGACTCTAACGTTGAGTCGTTAGAGTTCAAATGTGAGAGTCGAGATAAAATCATTCCTCAGTTCAAACTGTGCTTCTAAGGTAAAACTGCGAGCAAAGTGGAAAAAATACACTCGCCGCAAAAATGGCACAATGGTGAACCCAGGTCAAAGGAAAAAAAAAAAACCACTTTCATGGCCAGAATTCAGAGGTTCATACAGCCTCTTGAAACGAGTTAAGTTTGAAGTACGAGGCATCACAGTGTCCTGCTTTTTTCTTACAAATGCAGGTTTCTATGTCAGATTTCTCCCATCCAAGTTGCAATTTGTTCACTAGAATCACATGACTGCAACTAAGGACCAATCTTACTCTTATTGGTATAGCCCAGCCCTGGCTTCCTTTTGAGGACAAGGTATGAGCCTGCTAGATAAAACTCTCCATCACAAATCCTAGACCCTTCTTTACTTGTCCTACAGTCAAAATCAGGCAAATGAAGCTTGAAGTTTGAAAGCATGCATGATCATACACTCCAGGGAATATATGCTTCTTCTGGAAGAGGCTGGATCTATTTAGTTTAGTTTGGACAGTCAAGCATGATCACATTTTATGAAATATGAAGCTTGTGTAGAATGAATAAATGCTTCTGTTTGCTGTTAGCATTTAATGTCATTCAAATGAGTTAATGTAAATTCAGTGCAGAATATTCTCTAAATACCAGTTGATAATCTTGCCAACTGAATTGTGAACTACTTGAATTTCCAGATTGTTTAAAGTATTTTATCTGGAAGTTAGCAAGTCACAGATAACTGGCTTGTCTTTCCAAAAGCATAGACAGCACTCTGGCCTTGGAATGTGGAGTCGAAGATCCAACCCCTCCTTCCCTGCCCCCTTGCAGCCAGTGTGGAAAGAAGCTTGCTAGTTGCCAAACATCAGAAAAGTTTTTATTTATTTATTTGTAAATTATCTTATTTACAATTATTTGTAAGCTGCCCCGAGGCTTCGGCGAATGGGGCGGCCTAGAAATTTTCTAAATAAAAAAATAAAATAAAAGTGACATTGGAGGTAGAATGTAGGGAGTGATTGGTGGGCAGAGAGGGGAGGAGAACAGGGAGGCTAAGATACGAGTTATTCTGAACTCATTCCAGCCTCTTTCTCCCCTGCTTCTGAGGTGCTCTTGCTAGATGGCCAAAAAAGCCTATGTAGCAAAATCTGTAGGGAAAATGGGGAGGTGATTACACCTCCTGCCCTGCAATGGATGGATGAACACCTCCAACTTCAGGGGATTCTGACAACAGAAGGCTCAATGAGCCACCCAAGGCGTTATGAGCCACCAAAATTATTTAAGTTCACTTGCCTTCTATAAAACTCTTAAGAATTGTGCATAATCAATCCCTCCATGTGGTCTTCACAGGCTGCGAGATAGGACAGGTTCAGAGATGGTAACTAACACAAGGACACCCACCGAACTTGCACGCCTGAGCAAGAGTTAGACTCCACTGCAGCTGGTCAAAGTGCTCTAGTCACTCCACCAGCCTTTTTTTAATTCTTAAAATGGCTTTAACAGGAATCCTAAGCTGCAGACCTGGCCCTTATCCTTTGCTGTCCAACTACATCACCAAACAACTACCTCAGTTTATGGGATCTTTACATGTAGGGAGGTATTTGGTCATACAGAGTAAAAAAACTAGTTAAAATCAGGGAGGGGGGAGTTTGCTGGGACCTTCCAGGAAGAGGTAGCTTTACTTATACAGCATTTAGGGGACATTTCACCTGTTTCACGAAGAGAAAACTGTTCTCCAGCCCTTTCAGAGGCCAGGTGCTGGGGGGCAGGTGGGGGGAGCCAAGCCAGGTGAAGTGCAACACACTGCAGAGCTGGCTGCAGGACTCCTTGCGCGACGAAGGTCCATGCCAGGCCTAATTCTGTGTTCTGCAGGAAGCACATCTGAGAAATTAATCCTGTGCATTTGCTGATAAGGGAAAGCTACATTTCTTCGATGTCCTTTCTGTGACACGAAATGACAGCAGGAGCACAGATGCAGCGCACATGGCAGCCGATTAATCCAGCATGAGTGCTTTCTGTCATGATGACTATATTTAAAGTGGGGAAACTGTCCTGCAGAGCCACCATTTCATGACTGAGGCTGCATTTCAGAAAGTGCAGGGGGCAGGAGTCTTTCATTTCTTGCATGTAGAAAAGGAGAGCAGAGACATAGGCAAGTTGTGCTAGATAGAACTTGGAGGCCTCCAGATGCTTGGGACTTCAGCTTCCACCGGCCCCAGTCAGCGTGGACAGTGGTCGGGGTGCTGGGAGCTGGTGGGGAAGACTGGTGTAGCCTTTGGAGACTGTCATCTAGCCATTCATTGGTTGCGCATGGATATTAGAGTTAATTGCAGGCCTCTGAAATATCTTTCATTTTTTTCTTTTCTAGGCACAAGTTCCTCTAAAAAGAAAAAAGGTATGTTTGTTTTTATCCTGTTCTGCCAGTGGCAGTGGATCTTCTTTTGGATCCAGGGACAATAAGCACACGTGTGGGTGAAGATTAAAGAGCTTTATTAGGAAGCTGTAGAAAAAAAGAGTATAAAGGCAAGGTAGGTGCAGAGTCCAGTGCTTACATCTCTTCTGCTGTTGGGAACCCCTTGAAGGAATGACCTCAGACTGGCTCCTGCCAGCATTCAGCAGCTTGGTCTCTGTCACGGCTCTGCTCTTAGGAGGATCCCAGGACCATGTGCAGGGGGTTTGGTGCTTCCCACGAGCTTCTCTGCTCCCATTAAACTAGTTAAAATTAATACACTTTGCATAAAACTAATTAGGAAAGTGTCTTGGGCATTCCCATACCAGGCATGTCAGCCCATCTGCTGGTAAATAGTGCTTTCAGGTTGGCCAAGGGTCTTCCCAGAACACCTGGTTTCCAAGTCTTTCTAGTTCAAACTCATCCAAACAATGAGTAGCACTTATTTAACCAGCTATCAGTGCTTTCACCAACACTGAAAATTGGCCAACAGGTAACTGAATGGCTTTCCCAGGCCTCGGCTGGCATCTAGATTGCGTGCAAGACTATCTGAAAGCATGGTGCACCAACACGCTGCTCACATGCAAGGCCAGACATCGCGGGTGCTGGACTGGCCTGGCCACCAAGCGGTGGGAAGCAGCAACGGGCTGCAGAGGCAGCCCCGCTGGAGAAGCCAGGAAGACCCAGACTGACTCTACAGGGAGGGCCCCTCACAGGGACAGGACAGCCCTGCATCTCTCTCTACTGGTCACAATGGTCTTCCAGCCTTTTCCACTGCACATACCTCTCTATTCAGCAGCAGTGAACACAGTACTCTACCCCAGCAATTCAAAACCCAAGAAGAGGATGAGGAAGCCTTTGCCACGGCTGGCTGCATCCCCGTTTAGCCGGGCCTCCCTGGCCACGGCATCCTCTGAGCTCCCCGTTTGCCCCACCTGGGAGAGATGAGCGGGCTACCTCCCCCACGGTCTGGAGCTTTCCCATGGAGCTGAACTGGTAGCTGTTCCCGACTGTCCCCACCTCAGAAAGAGGCCACAGGCAGGCAGCTGCCCGGCCCTTTCTCTCCCTGGCTGGCGGCTGCAAGAATTTCATTTGGGGCGCTGTCCAGTGCCCAGGCAGCTTCTGCTGCACATCACTTCATACCTGTAAATGCGGCAGTAGCTGCAGCAGAAGAAAGGGGATCCTCGCTCGGCTTTTAAGCAGGAATCTCACTTGGATGGAAAATCAAATGTGCACGAGCACGGCCTGCCTGCGCACGCTGCCGGCGAATCACTTGTAGTTGTGTCACACCTGAAGTAACAGCTAATTTAGTAGCAGAAGAGGCCTCTGGGGCAGGATTAACAGAAACAGCTGTAGTGCTTCCCCTGGTCCTGGGGGTGAGGTGGAGGTGGGGCGTTTGTGTAGGGAGACCTGGCTTAGGCATACATTTGACTCTGTATGAAGTCAAGTCTAGGATGAAGATCATTTAAACCAAAGGAATTTAGTAATATATGCTAAAGGGGACACGCGTGTTAAGATTTGGAATGCGGTTCAAGGTTATAGTTTTATCTGTATCCCAGTGAGGCAGCAGAGAGCTGAGACAGACGAGTGCAGCTTTGGCCAGTCGCCAGCTCAGATCTGAGCAGCCATAAGCACTGATCCAGAAGCAGACGTCAGGTGCAATCATACCAATTTTTCTGAAGAAAAAACCCCAGGACTCCCACTATTCCCCAGTCAGCATTCCCTCGCCAGCTCTTTTCTGTCTAAACATGCACAGAAGAGCACCTTTAATCTTGCTTTGCCCCTGAAATCCTTCTGCGGGCCATCTGTGCCAGTTCTACCAAGATTACTGTGGCATACAAACCATTCTTTATTATGCATTTATTATTAGCATTTCTATATTGCCTTTTTACTGAAAAGTGGTGCACAACAATTTAAACCAAAATAACCATAAACCACAAGGCCACGGAACACATCGCACTGCTACATAATTTAAAAGGCTGGATGCTGGGGACATCTTCAGCCCCTCTCTGAGCATCAGGGCTGTGGGGCCAACTGCAGCGGTTGAGGAAGTGCCTCCACAGCTTGGGATCAGCACGCAGTACAGGAGGGGCTCATTCGCCAGCCGCTCTCTGCCAAAAGCAACGCCTGCGGGGGGGCCTCGCTGCAGATCATGGAGTACAGGAGTTGTGAGTTTCCACAAAGGCCATCGGGTCCAACTCCCTGCTGTTGCTGGACACCAGATCTTAATAATTGGAGAGCTTCACAGTGAGGCAGACAACCTGTTCCCAAACTTTAGGGTTTAAAAGTTTAAAATGAATGCCTTGCCTTGAACTCAAAACCAGCTGGAGGTATTTCAAGCCAAGAATAATACAGTCGCGTGGCTGTGGCAAGCAGCCTAGCCCAAGTGGCGCTCCCAGTAGTAGAGCAAGTTGCTGTGAGCAAGGCGTGGATGATGGCTGCCAAGTCAGGAGGACTCCGGAGAGGCTGTGGCTGGTGCACAAAGCGTACTTGCGCCGGTGCGCCCCGCCCCCCGGCGGGTGTAAGGGCATCGCAGGACTGAGGCGGCCCCTGAGCGGCAGCTCTTGTCCTGGAGAGGGGCTGTGCTGATCCACGTCCTGAGAAATGGCTCAGGCCAGTGGGGTGAGCCTTCGTGTTACGCCACGACCAGCACGGAAGTGACCGGGGGCAGCGTCTCCTCCTGCACCGGAGTTCAGATTAGCAGCCACTGAAGCAGAAACCGATCGTCTTGCTCTGCCTGAAGGAACCAGCCAGGTTTAGGGTGGTGTCGCAATAGCAAATACTATGAAGTTGTGAAATATTTCGGGGGGATGTACTGGAGGGCTGCACAATCCTTGTGGAAACGTCCTCTCTCGCTCCTCCGCACGCCAGAATGTGCACTGCTGCATTAGCGCTGGGCGTTGGGAAGGCCCTTCGTGACAACCTAGGAAAGGCTTCCCGTGACCCTGGGCTTCATTCCCAGGCAGCCGTGCCGGGTCCGGGCAGGCGTGGCCCCTCCTCAGGGTGGCTCCCCAGAGATCTGCCCTCCATGGCCCACCCACATTTCGGCTGAGGGCACTAGATGGGGGTGATGGGGACCAATTCCCTCCCTTGGCCATGTGAAAAACCACGCAGAAACATCCTGCAGGTGGTAAAAGGGTTTGCGAAATGCCCGTCTCCAATATCAGTTTAACCGAAGTCCGGAAGGGGAGCACTGAGCCCACGGGCCTTGGTGCTCAATGCTGCAAGCAGTCACGCGGCTTGAATAAGAATTATGCATGTGTGCACATCTCGTATCTTTTGGGAATCAGTCCAGTGCCTCCCACTGGTACACGTAAGGCCCCAAATTCAGACGATTCCATGCGTCCAGCAGGGCAGGGCAGCAGGGGCCTCCGCCCCTTCCGTGCCTTGCACCACCCAGGCGAAGTGCTGGAGGGAGAGGGAGGGAGCCTGGGGCGCTAAGAGGAACTGCCAGGCTGAGCTTCATCCACAGCCTGCGTCTTCGAGGCCTGCCTTGGAGAGGCAGCCAGTGCAGTGCTTTCCCCGACAAATGTATAAAACACCGTTCTTAGCAACATTCACGCCCAATTATGAAAGAAAATGAAAACAGGACAAATAAAACAATGAGTGATGGTGAAATCTAATTCCACAAGGATCTGACAAAGATAAAACAAATGCAGGCACCAATAACAACAAAGTAATCACACAGGAAAGCTAAAATCCAGTCCTCTTGGTTGAACCAATAGCACCTGCCAACAGAGACTGGCAGCAACATGATATTAACACGGTGCCAGGATGCCTCGATCAAGCTCCAAGCGGACACGAGGGGCCTGCCCAGCGTCCCACAAGCAGGCCCCCCGCCAGGTGCCCTCCTGTGCGACACTTTCCCGGCTGCCCACTCGCGGGGCCATCCGAGGTCCCACCCCAAGCCGAGTGCGACCTCCGTGTGCACGTGTTTTAAGCTTCTGCTTGTCTCAGGAAAGGTTTTCTTGCTGAGTTGGTCTCCTGAACTCCCCGAAGGGTTTCCTGCCCACTGGCTTTCGGGGTGGGCTGGGAGCACGCCTGCTCGCGCTGGCCCTCGTTCGGGGAGCACGAGGGGCAGCCCGTGCTCTGCGGCAGCCACAGCCCTGCAGGTGCAGCCTGACACGCTTTATTTCCACAGGCAAGAAAGCCGGCCCTCCAGGACCTGCTGGGCCCCAAGGCCCCCCCGGCCCCCCCGGACCCCAAGGGCCTCCTGGAATTCCAGGGATCCCCGGTATACCAGGCACCACGGTCATGGGCCCTCCTGGCCCTCCAGGACCTCCCGGCCCCCAGGGCCCTCCCGGGCTGCAGGGCCCTGCTGGTAAGTGGTGTGCGGGAGCAGAGGCACAGCAAGATGTGTCCTGTGGGAGCAGGGCCCCCAGCCTCGTTCAGCCCATCTGGAACGAGGCCACTGGGGCATCGTCCGTATCCAGCCTCAGGTGCCAGTAACGTGCCAGTCAGCCCGCTCTGTCACCTGCCTGCCTTGGGACTGCCACCTGACACACCTCCTTTCACAAGGAAGGACGCTGCACACCCCCCACGCACCACCTCAGGGCTGCCCTGCACTCCCAGCGGCTCTCCTGCTGCTTTAGCACAGGACTTTATGGGGAAAGCAGGACGACCAGAGGCTGCCTGGGGTCGCCCCTGCGCCGATCATTGGCCCTACCCCCGTCTTTCTCCCCTCTTAAAAGCCCCTCAGGCAGCTGATGAGGGCGATCTTCTCTCCACCGCGTCCTCAGAACGGCCCATTGAAGTAGCTCCGACTGAGAGCCCGTGACTGGCCCGCAGCGGCCCTGTGAGTTTGTGGCCAGTTGGGAACAGAACGTGGAGCCGCTGAGGCTGCAGCCACCGCAGCACATTGGTTTTGATTTACAACATGCCCAGTGGTGGGAACTGTTTTTAGGGGAAAGCCTGTGCTGACCGGCAGGGGTGGCCACAGGCAGCATGCTGGAGCGAGTGGGCCGGTGCCTGCGTACAGCCTCGTGGAGTTGCAGCTTGAATGGCAGACTGGGATGAATTCATAGCACTGCTGGGGTGGCTGGAGTGGGTCTGCTTTCATTCTTTCATTTAGGCTGTGTGGTTTCACTGTAAAAGTAGGTAAACCTGCAACTTCAGTGGTACCCCCAGGCCACCCCTGAGGAGTGAATCGTGCTTGTCACATGGGTCCCTCGTGCATTCAGGGCCCATGCAGTCGAGCGGTAACATGTGATGCAGCCACAGGAGAGTGACGCTGGAATGCCCTCCAGGCCCCAAGCCTGCGCCCCACTGGTGTTCCTTGGCGCCCCACGGATGAGGGCCTCTGGGAAGGATGTAAGCGCAGTCTGAGCATTCACGGTCCCGAAGGTGCATTTTGAGGTGTATAAATAGGAGTATTTCGGCTTGCACCTTCACGAACTTGGCAGTGCAGGACGATGGGCCTGTAACCACAGCAAGCCTATAAACACCTCAGAGAAATGTTGCATTCTTGTGACAATTGAAAATGGTGTTGGGTGTGAATCGTGGGATACCTTGATTAACTAGTATAGATGTTAAATATTTAGGACCCTTCTAGATTGTAGAGGAAGAACAGGAATTGCCTTAAAGAGAGGAGCAGATTCAGAGAGCACAACAAATACTGTATCAGCACCTAAAAGATTGTTTTGGCATAATGTAAATTGTTTACAGGGTCGAAAGTGGCTATTGTAATTACACCGTTCTGTCCTGGTGGCATGATTCAGTGAGCATCAGGTCCTTGGGGAGGGGCATGGAAGCAAGTGAGCACGCCGTCTCCAGTGGCTCACCCACTTCTGGGGCATCCTTTGGTTAACTGGCAAGTGGGGGTGAGCAGAAACCAGTTCCGAGACAAGCAGGGCCCACTCTCTGGAAGATCTACTAGTTAAGAGCACTTTGGGGGGGACCCCACCATCTGGTACAAAAGGGAGGGGCTCCTACCTGCTTCCTCAGTGCCCTGGGAGCTTTGTCTCTATTTCTTCCATGTTTGAGCATTCTTTTCCTGTTCCTTTCTTCTTATCATAAAGCTGTTTCTTTGCTTCTTACAATCCTTCAACACTCCTTATATTGCACAACAGTACCCATTTTCCTTACCTTCCAACAACAACACCCCCTAAACATAAACATCTTCTTTGCCTTCCCTTGCGATCCCAATCACACTAGCTCCCTTTGTCTGCTCTGAGGAGGCAGGCAGTGAGGAGCGCCAGACTGACCCGTGTCCTCACTGTCTGGCTTTTATCAAACGAGCCAGAAAGTGCCGTGTGGATCGCCTCCAGCAGAGGGCAAGCTCCGCTCTCCGCTCGAGTGCTCAGCCACGCCGGACCGGACCGCGTGCTTGGCAAAGCCGGCCAAGGAAAGAGGCATACCTCGATCCCTTTTTCTTCCTCGTAACCATAGAGGGACACATTGCAGGACACTTTCCTGCCTGTGTTTCATCAGCACAGAGTCCTTGCTTTGGTCTCAGAGAGAGGTGCCTGCACTCGATGTAAAAGAGAGGCACCTGACACTCAGGGCAATAGCAGTGCGGGAGCTTAGAGAAGAGCGGAGGATAAAATCTTCCAGGGAGTTGCCATAAGGCTCAGTGGAAAGCTCCTAGTCTGTCCCCAGACACAAACCGTGATGCTGTGAGAGGGAAATGCTGCACAGATGGTGGTGACAACCGTGGTGAACTCAGCGTGTGTCACGTTGTGTCTTGCAGGTACCACAGATAAAGCAGGACCAAGAGAGGCTCAGGTGAGCTGGCCTGTCTCGGGGGAGAATATTAGTGGAACTTTGACCCAACTGAACCTGAGATTTTTCATATGAAAAGGCCGTATTTTCTAGCCTTTTAATTGCACCAAAGGCATCAATTTTAATTAAACCAAAAACAGGTTTAAGAGAAGACCTTTCGTTAACAAGGTCTATGCTAATTGCCTTGATGCCCTTGGAAACATAAGAAGAACTTCTTGGGGTTAAAATCTTTTCCTCAAATTACCTTTCCTAAAAAAATCTCCTGGGATGCCTTGTAACCTTCTTGGGCAGCTGTGTCGCACACCTTGACAATGAAATGCTCGTCTGCTTCTTCTGTCTCAAGGCATATGAGAAAAGCATGCAGAGCGGCTTTATACCTGTCTAATCTTTATCTGCTGTGCTCTGATTTGCAGCCAGCGGTGGTTCACCTTCAAGGACAAGGGTCAGCCATTCAAGTCAAGAATGGTAAGAATTTGAAGCGGTTGGCCACTGAAGGCTTTCTTCTGCTTCCACGCAAATGTTTGTAAGCTTAAGCAAGCGCTGTTCCACAAGGACATGGCTCAGCCCCTAATCGTCACAACGTCGCCTTTTATAACAACATGAATGTTCCCCACATCTTCTCTCAGTAGCATTCCAATCAGATATCAGTAGCCAAGCCAGGCCAACTATTCCCACCCTGTCAATGTTCCTTTTAAAAGCCGTGTCTCTCCCCCCCGCCCCCCACCCCCGGCCACCCAGGCACCTTTCGATTCCCTTTTCAGCATAAATACCGTCTTTTTCACTTCATTCCCACCACTACAAAAATTAACCTGAGTGGTTTCGCTGTGCCATCACCCTGCCTCAGTCACCAGATTCACTGCAAGCCCAGCACAGATGCCACCCTCTCCCAAGCCTTCCCCTCCTGCCTTTCCCCACCATTTCCCCCATCCTTTCACTTACTGTGGAACACCTTGAAAGAGGTCATGTGGGGATACCTGGACGACGCCTTCCGGCTCAGTGTGGTACGAGGGCCCCTCCCCGGAAGCCTCAGCCTCCACCTGGGGGCTTCTCATTGAAAGACTGCTGCTGGTTGTAGCGCTTCGGGGGTGTGGGGGCTCCCTCGTTTGCCGGATTCCAACATTCTTGCCGCAGACAGAGCACTGTCCCGGGGGCAGGGATGGGCCTCGCGTCTTTGAGCAGGGGTCCCGCTCCGCCATCCGGGAGTGCAGCTCGTGTGCGCACAGAGAGGGCCGAGGCGGCGCTGTTGTCTCTTCTTCCTGCACTCGCTCTCCATGGGGCAGCTTTTTCCCCTGAATGCTTTTTGCAAAGTGTTTAGCGCCTGATGCCCACTGACGGTCTTCCTCCGTGCGGTTTGGAGGCGGGCGCATGCGGTGCGCCTGTGCCGCTCGGCAGCAGCTCTGCTCCCTCCTGGCTGGGCGTTGCACAGTGCGGTGCCGGCATCAGGGGGCAGTTGCTGAGCAGCTACTGGAGGCCTGTGGTGTGGTGCTTTTCGGCGCAGAGCTGCCGATAGGCCACGCAGACACTGGAGCCTGGCCTCAGAATTGGGTTGACATCCCCCTCCTGCCAGCTTGCCCAGAGAGGCTGTGGAAGTCCTGAACCGTTGTCTGGGGGCAGTAAAGGGCTGGCGAGGTTTAAATTGAGTGTCGGTCCAGACAAGAGAGAGCCATTGCGGGTTTCTGTGAGATAAGCGAGTCTGGGATTGAGGGTATGCGTAGGGGTTTGGCTCTTCTTTGTAGGCTATTAACCCTCTTTCTTCTGCCTGGCTTTCAAGTTATTTAAATATATTAGCAGTCTTCCATTTGGAAAAAAAATCACCCAATCTTGGAAGCTCAGTTGGGCTGGACCAAGTTGAAATCTGGACGGATGACTTAAAATGTTGTGAACTGCCCAGAAAGCTATGGGCAGTATAGAAAAGCAATATAATAATAAAATTCTTTGTCTTTTTTCCAGTGTAAAATGTTTTAAAACGTCTATATTGTGACAGATTCTTTTTATTCTGTAACACTTAAACAAAGAGTGCTTACCAGAATTATTCACGTTCCATTCAGTAATCAGCAAAATCAGGGCCGAGGCTGTATTTGTGCTGCTGTTGCACTCCATCCTGACGAGCACTGAGTGACTGCCATTTTCTCATACTGAGATCTTTCAGGTGGAGTCCTCAATGACTGGTCTCGTATCGCGATGAACCCCAAAGTGTTCAAGCTGCACACCCGCAGCGGGGAGCTGGAGGTACTGGTGGACGGCACGTACTTCGTCTATAGTCAGGTAGAAGTGAGTACGGTCTTAGGCGTAACTCCTTTTCCTAAACGCTTTGGGACTCTTAAAGTGAAGGCGAGGAACGTATGGTAATGAGCATTTAATGTCTAAGGGAGCAGGAAAGGGCGGTGGGGCGGGTCATGTGGCCAGGCCAGGGCGATGCAGCCGTCAGGCTGGCTGGGCTGCGTCCTGCAGCATGTTCAGAGGCTCCATGCGCGGCACGCCGGTTAATGTCCCTGCAGTTGGGCGGCTGGCTCAGGTACCCGGTGCCTCTCCAGGAGGGCAAGAGCAAAGCATGCACAGAACGGAGGAGGACCTCTGCTCAGCTTCCTTCGGACTGCAGCACACCTAGGACCAGCAGGTGGGACTAGAAGGAAGGCAGGTCTTGGCCTGCCATTCCGAGATGCTTCCCAAACCCAAACCCTCCAGCACGCCTGCAACGTGCCATCACCCACGGCCCTCACATCTGAGCGGCTTGAGAGCAGGCCCTGCGTCCAGAAAATAAATCTTGGTCGGGCTTCTCAGCCTGGAAATCCAGGAGGGTCCCTTTATCAGCCGCAGACAAGGAGAGCGACTGGACCAGGGGGATTTAGTCCTCTGCAGCGATGGAATTCCAGGCATCTGGTTCCCGGAAGGCCATGCCCACCAGCACTTCTTCTGATCAGCAAAGCTGAGAAACCTCTCGGGACGTGTTTCCAAGGACATGTGGGATCTGGAGCAGGTTTTCCAGAATGCCCTTGTGCATTTCTCTGACCAGTACATGAGTACTTCCTGACACCAAGCTCATGGCGATGCCAAGACCATCATGGGCACAGCGGCCCTGAGGTGGCATGCTTGACCATGATCTACCGGATTGTCACAAGAGGCCTGATGCTGCGTAAAGGACCGGCCATTTGATGGGCAGAGAGTGTTTAATGGGAAGACTGATGAGTTTGTTTTTACTCCCAATACTTCATGGATCAGAGAGGGTCAGAGAGCTTTGATCCTGCATTTGTGGGATGTAAACTCGTCCATTATGCCCAAGAAATTCCTCATGGCGATGCTGCTTTGGATTCTCCAGCTGCTGTGCAAGGTTGACTTGTTTGGATCAAAGGGTCATGGAAGATCTTTTTGCACTGCTGTCACGAAGACTTCCCAGCATGGACCTTGCCGTGTGTTTGCCATGTGTGCCCACACTCCCCAAGGTGGGGCGACGCCAACCCACCGCAGGGAGCTTGGCTTGCTGCACAGCGCGTGCTGCATTGAGTACTTCAGCTGCTCACGCCTGCGCTCAGATAGCACAACCGCAGGCTCTGCTGCAGTCCGAGTGCCATTTCTGATGTCAGCACGAAGGTATTACTGGTTCTTGAGGCCACAGCGAATGGTCGTAAGGAACTGAGGAACTAGGCAGGGGCGTAAGTACTTTGAGTGCAGAGGAAGGAGGTCACAGGAGCTCTCTGCACGGGCCCCACCTGGGCCCACGGGAGCACGCAAGGAGCTGCACGTGGGAGTGGGCGCCCTGTCTCCTTGGAGGCGTGGAAGCAGGGACTGGATGCTGCAGCTGTGTCCTGCCTTGCGGAGCTAGCGCTGAGCAGAGGACTGAGAGCTTCAGCTCCCTTCCAACTCCATGCTTCCGGGATCTCCAGGCAGAGCTGGGAAAAACCTGTCATCCACAGCCACTGCTGGTCAGCGTGGACAAGACTAAATTAGTCTGGCTTGGTATCCGCTTCTCATTTCTGTTTTTGATTGGATCAAAAAGGGATGTGGTGATGCGACGCCTCCCGCCTTTTGCCTGCCAGACCTGCCCTCCTGTTTTTGCTGTGGTGTAAAATTGCTGCAGTGTTCCATGAAAATGCGAGTGCAGCTGTGTGATTCTCCTAGAAATAGACAAAAGCCAGCGCAGGCGTCACAGCGGCTGGAGGCAGAGCAGTGCAGATGTCCCGCAGGCTGCGAGTCTGCCCACTCATGGGCACCACTAGCCTGCCAGCAAAGCCCCTGCCTGCTTGGGACAGCAGTCCACACAGCCAAAGACTGTCAGAGTCTCACATGTCTGTTAAACAGTAAGAGTGAGCAAGGATGCTTGTTTCAGGCATGGCTACTGGCTGACTTTATCAAAGTTTCAGCGAATCCGTTCTAGATTTCTAGCTGCACCTTTGTTGCTCATGCCATTGTGTAGGAAAACCTTGTTCTCCTGGCTCAGAGCAACTTGCATGCACGGTGTGGAGGGATTCTGTGGTGCTCCTACACTGGGCTCTTGAAACGCATCTAGACGGTTCGCAGTGTACGTGTGTGCTTGCTCTTCTAGTGATGCTGGTCCTTCTCTGTCCATTTCCAACCAGGTGTACTACATAAACTTCACAGATTTTGCTAGCTATGAGGTGGTGGTGGATGAGAAGCCCTTTTTGCAATGCACACGAAGCATTGAGACTGGCAAGACCAACTTCAACACCTGTTACACCGCTGGGGTTTGTCTCCTCAAAGCCCGCCAGAAGATCGCAGTGAAGATGGTCCATGCTGACATCTCCATCAACATGAGCAAGCACACGACCTTCTTCGGAGCCATACGGCTGGGAGATGCACCAGCATCCTAAAGAAGTCGACACGTGAGGAGAAGGCTTCCCAAACTGCATGGTGCTAGTCTTCAGAGGAGTTGTATGTGGCTGTCTAACCCCTGAGAAGCCGTGGGGAGAATTGAGAAGAGATATTTACTTGTTAATGTAAACGCAGGAAGGAAGAGCGTGGTTTTCCTGCTGCTCACATGAGCGTAGTACTGAAAGACAAATGCGGAGCTTTTAGAGAGGGGAGGCCGGTATGACCTTCCTCACTGCAGGACTTGTAAGTCACTCACGACTTGTCTTGCTTACCTGTTGCACTAACAAGAATAGCTATCACAGAATCCCCTTAAAAAGTTGCTTGTGAATGCACTTAAGTACATCAGAGAAAGCAAGAGGATTGGGGGGGTTCACTTATCTGCAAAGCTGAGAAAATTCTTTTGTGGGGTAATGATGCCCTGTGGCTGGGGGTGCTGGGGAGCAGGACCCAAATAGCGTGGACAATTTTTCAGTGGACCAAGTGCTTCTGGGCAGACTCCAAAAGTACACAGTGCGTCTGTGGGTAACAGAAGAGCACTGCATTTGTCAACAAAACAAAATGCTCTCCAGGAAGCTAGTTCGTGAGAACACTCGTTTTTACAGGATCACAGTAGTGATTCCAGCAAAGTCCAAGCCCCCCCGCAGTAGCCGTTCATGCAAAATAGGTAGATGGCTACGTATGTTGCATGTTGTGTTGCTACAGGCCTCTGTATATCCATGTGTGTTGTGTTGGCAGTCAGTCTGTCTTGAGCATGGGAGCAACAGCTGGAGCTTGTCCACAGAAATCTGTTCTGATTGGTGGGCTGAGCCACAGGTCAAGCAAACATGGGGTGAACGTTGCCCAGCGATCTTGCATGATACCATCATTGACCAGATTTCCCAGGACAGATGTTTTAGGAGGGAAATGGACAAAGACTCAGTTGTGGAAGTTCTTTCTGAGGATGTTCTTGGGATGGAAAAGCAGCCCTGTGAGCAGAGGAAAATTGGATTTTAGCTGAGCCACCAATCACAAGCGCCTTGCTACGGCAGATGCTTTCAGCTTGTAAGCGGCTACCCAAGAATGATTTGCTTAAGTGCCTTTGATACAGATCCTGTGAGAGCCGCCCTAATAGGCACTGCTGAGACTGGCATGCCACAGAGCCACTTTCCGGGGATGCCCCTGTGATAACAAGGTTGGCGGAGTGGCTAGAAAGCATGTTGAACGGAATAGACCAGTATAATTACAAGCTCGTTCAGCCCTGTTCCAGTTCTCAAAAAACACGGCATTTTTCTTTTCCAGCTGACAGCAGCATTAGCAAGACCAGTTAAGCTGGTCTAGCCTATGTGGGCCCTTGTTCCAACCTGTGGCACCTCCCAGTTCCCAAAGCAAAGTGAGTTGGAGGCACTCTGGCTTACAGCTGGGATTCTACACAAAGTATAGAGTGTGGAAAGCCCTTGCTTGAGTGCTAAGATGATGCGGACTGAGGTCAGTTGCCAGATTTTACTTGCTGAGTATGTTGACATCTTCAGAACTCTGTTTTCATGCTGCCTCTTACATGACAAGCAGCCCATCTTTCAGGGTCCAGAGCTAGATAAGGTGTTGGATGCTGTTTGATTGGTCAGCACCCTTATTAACAACATTCTCTGTACATAATATATATATATAGACAGATAGATACAGATAGATACATATAAAATGTATATAAATGTGGATGTAACTTTATGTAAATTGTTGGTATTTTCATTGCAAATAAAACTTTTCAGACACATTTGACTGTATTCCTGCTACTTTTGGAATATTTCTTGTCAGCCTTAATAAAATATTACACCACAGAAACATGGGGATGGGGGTTTCTCTGGGGGTCTAGCTGTACATAGAAAATAGAAGATTTTAAAGAATAACATGAATTCACTGTCTGTGTTTATATATTAAATTCCATAAAACACCCCCCACCCCAAGGTCTTCATTCTTTTGATCTTTTCCATCAAGTACCAGTTCTCAAATATGTGCTGCTTTCTTAAATTCTCTTGACTCCCTTGGTCTTGTCCATCATCCCTAAGTCCCCATCCACACAATAAGCTTTCACCTAGTTCTGGCAGATTTAATTATATAATATTTTCCCTTGTACAAGACCCTCAAACACTGAATATCCCCAGCTATATTTGACATTATTCTCCAATAAAACAGTATTGATAAGCTTTAATGACCATCTAAATAACAGTCTGGAAGCAAAGAACTTGGAAGACTTGAATAGGGGTGCCTTTGAATTTTAATTGACCTGATTTTTCTCTCATTATTTCCATGAACATTTATTCCAAAATCTAATCAAAACATCCCTTGTGGGAACATCTTGGTTCCTAACAGCCAACTTGATGTAATCTTTCAATATCCTCTTGTTCCCATTTTACATTTGGGACCATCTTAGTTATTCAATAATATCTATCCATCCTCCATCTTTTAACTTCTTTATAATCACATTTAATTTCAAAATCCATATTAATGCATGATCAGTAATTTTTACTAAGCCTGTATCTGAATTATACACTCTAGAAAGGAAGTTTGACACGAATATACAATCAATCCTGGAGTAAGATTTATAAACAAATGAATACAAAGTGAATCTTTTCATCTCCTTTTGTTTTGCTCCATGTAGCTTTCAAAAAGGAGGATGAAAAAGTGCTCGTGACAAATTAGCTAGTGGAATAGAGATGACAGCTTCGCATGCCGTTGATGCCTCATCCCAAACCTCTGGATGCTTTCCAGACTGAAGAGTGTGTGAGCCAAATAAAACCTTGAAGCATTCCAGGTGCCAATGTCCGCCACCTCACTCCCCCACTGCAGCACTGCCCCCAAGTCTCATCCCAGAGACGTGGTCCATGGTCTCCAAAAGCCGCTGAGAGGGCCAAAAGAACCAGTGGGGAGACACTCCCCTCCCATTCATTTCCTGTTCTAAGTCATCTATGTATTTATTTGGGATATTTCTAACCCGTCCAGTCACTATGCGTCTCTGGACGGCTTACAAACAAAATTCAATAAATACAATATAAAAAATCATAAATACCCCCAACAAAAATAAGACTAACATGACTGAAGTAAAACACAATTAAAATTTTTTAAGCATTAAAATGTTGGGTGAATCAAAAGGGCTTGACCTGGCGCCAAAAAGCATAAAGAGTCGGAATGAATAACTGAACAACTGGCTCCTCACAGGCCATCCATCCCACAGAAGCCCATATCCAGAGTGTGTCCCGCCACGTGCGGGCCTCCGGCCGCCCAGCTGTCACGGGGCCGAGTCCAGGCGGCACACTGGTATTCTCCGCATCGTCCTGAAGGCGCCTGCAGGCGACGTGCTGGCCCACCGCTGCTTGGATCGCCTCACCAGCATCAGCGCGCCCGACAACCTTCGAATGAAGGTGAACTGCCTGCAGCATCTCGAGGACGCCGAATCCGGGCCCTCCAGCAGGGCCGGCGGAGCCCCGCAGCTGCCTCCCCGTGCCTGCCCTCGGCGCGAGGAGCCGGCGGGCGGGCGGGCGGGCCCGGGCGGGGCGGCGGTCGCGGAAGGGGCCCCGCCGCCCACGC